AGGTCACACACAGTTCCATGTAATCGGTTCCCTCTTTCCTACCCAATGAATGACAGTGTTTTAAGGCATATATTTGTCTTTTCGTTTTTTTAATAGACAGCTTTTGGTTCTTAAAATAGTTCAGTTGGTTTCCATTTTTCAGTCCATCTAATACTCGCCTTCCCTGACACAGCAGATCTTCCAAGTTGAGTGCTGGCCCTCAGGTGCTACCTGCACGTTCTGGGCAGTAAGAGCTGCCTCCATCGTTGTCTCTTCCATCGTTGTCTCCTCCATCGTTGTCTCCTCCACCTCTGTCTCTTCCATCGCTGTCTCTTCCATCGCTGTCTCTTCCATCGTTGTCTCTTCCATCGTTGTCTCTTCCATCGCTGTCTCTTCCATTGCTGTCTCTTCCATCGCTGTCTCTTCCATCGTTGTCTCTTCCATCGTTGTCTCTTCCATCGTTGTCTCTTCCATCGCTGTGCACTCGTCTCACCGTAGACTTTCATTTGACTTCCAAGCTCTTGAAAACAAGCAAGAACTCAGAGATCGGTATTGGAAAAAATGCTTCAAGGAAGGATAAGAATGAGCGTTTGAAAGCCGTAGGAGAGGTTTCTACTCGATCGCTGAACTTCCTAGAGACTCGGATATGTGGTTGAAACTTGAAAATCTTTAGGTTTTTCAAAGTATTTTTTTTGTAGTGGGATCAAAGAAAAACTCTGAAAAATTGTTTTTATTCTAACTAGTAAGAAGAAAACAAAAGGAGCAGGTACTTACGGCTTCCTATACCAAACCCCTATTGCCCCCTCTATGGAAGGTGCTTCAAACTTGCAGTCCTTTGCTAAGTTTGGTGTTTGTTGTTTGGTTTTAAATGAAAACGTTGTCTAAGACGTTCATGATTTACAAAATAATTTAGATCTACATGTCTCACTGTCTTATAAACTGTTGACTGTCCAGAGTTCAGGAGATTGTGTGCGTCTCTCTTTTAGCAACATTAACAAGGTGAGGTTAAACTCTTTTAGCAACAACAATGGGAACAATGTGATATCTATGGTTTGGTTTGGTGTTTTGTTGTTCTTAATAAGTAAAATAGTCAAAAGTTTTTTTGGCTAATTAATTGATGGTTGTTTTACTCGTTTTTATTTTTTAAAAGCATTTAAAGGATAAAAGTAAAGTATTTTGTACCTCAGCGATGCTGAACAATAACATCCTATTATCAGCTTCTAATTGTTACACTTCTTCTCACTTATTTCTAGTTCCTGGGGTAGGGATGGGGATTGGAGGGAAAACACGTAACAGTTGTAATTATAACTTCACAGTGGAAACAGCTAAGTTCCATGGAATTAAATTGAATGTTTTTCCAACATCGGTAATATCCACAAGAGTCAAAGTGTTTGCCCCTTCGTTAAAGACTTCATTATCATATCAACCACCACACATGTTTTTATCATCTTAATTTGCCCATTTAACTCAAATTGGAGAACAATGCTCATATTTTATTAACATTTGAACAAGTCTACATTTTCCCTTGTAACTCTGAGGCATTTTTGCTTTAATTGCCAGGTTATCAGTTTTCCTTTTTGCACAATTTATAATTATAAGTACAAAAATGATTTTATTCCGTGGAGAGAATCTTAAAGGAATGAGAATTCTGTTCCTGTGCGTGTAATGACCGAGCGTCTTTTCCGATGGTGCTCTGTAATTGCGGGTGAACATAAACAGCACAGCAGCTTCTTATATTTAAATGTGCCGTATCAGACTTGCTTGGTATGAATTATTATACTTAAATTAGACTGCCTTTTTTCCCCTCTGTTAGATGTCTTGGGCCGTTAGCAAATGCCCTTTCAGAGAAAACCAGAGAACTAGTAGAGGAAGATGATGATGAATACAAGGTTCCTTCATCCCATCCTGTTTCCCTGAACTCACAACCGCCTCATTGTCATAATGTAAAGCCTCCTGTGAGGTAAGAATTCCGATCGCTGTTTATCACCTCACATCTGCATAAGCATTATCATTTGGGTGTGATTTTTTTCATATTTGGTTGAATCATATCTATTTAACAGAAAATCCTTGAGTTCCTTATGAAAACCTTATCTGCCCACATTTTATATATTCCTATTGTTGGCCTTACTTTCAAAAAAAACTTGAAGGATGTAGGCCTTCTGTTGATCCGAATCATGGGACTTAAATGAGGTTACTAATAAGTATAGTGTGCTATTCTATTATTAAAGATACTAATTATGGTCTAGTAAAATTTTGTTACATGAGGGCCCAAAACTAAACTCACAGCCATCCTGTCAAATCTGACCACAGTGCCCCTATATATTATATATTATATCGCATTGCCAAGGTTCCATGTGTTTGAACAGCCAATTTGCAGTTGGCAGTTAATTCATGCATTTTCAAACAGCTGCTTTCATGTGTTCTAAGCACATCTCTCACAAGGGAATTTAGCGCTTAGAAACTAAGGTGTTATGCCAACTTTACTTGAATTTTTCCCCATAATGTAGAGCCCACTATATTCTTATCCTCTCTTGATGTGCTACCTATTCCTCTTCCAATTGGAGAAGTTTTTTAAAAAGTTATTTCACGTAATTGCTTTTAATTTTCTTCCTAAAAATCAGACACTTTGACTTTTTTCTTCCATCAAATAAGAATATAAGGAATAGTTGGGGGGTTTTTTCTTTAATGAGAGTTGCTTGTTTATGCTCTATTGTGGGGACATTGTTGTGTCCCCTAGCACATTGAAATGACAGCTACTGCTAGGTATGTAAAAGATGGTAAACTATGCACTGGGTCATTAACTTGTCTGTAGATAAAACGATGATTTACAGACTTGGTATTTTGTAATTTAATATATATATTTACTCTGACTGCTGCCATATGGTAGTCAATAAGTCTACCCCAGCTTCTGCTTCTGCCCTTAACTGTTGGAGCTTCAATTTTATCTTTTGCATTTGTTTTGTTTTGTTTTGTTTTCTGCCACATCCCTAAAGCTGTCCTGGTCATATGCAAAAGGATTCCACGGTGCTAGCGGTCCAGCCTTCCTGCGTTCTCGTATCCCCGATTCATGGATAGGGCCACTGAACGCTCAGGCCGTCTATATTCCATTGCTTAGTGGACCAGCTCCTTTTGAGGTGACATCCATCAACCGAAAGCAGTTAATCCAAGCGCAGTAAAGAGAGAGTTGGAACCTACAAGAATATGACCCTTAGTCACCTTTCGTGCCTGCAGCTGAACTCACCCGATTGGCACAAATTTGAGCCAAACAGTAGACAAGTCTCTAAAGGGAACAGTGACTCCTGAGACTAATCATCCATTTAAATCTAAAAGCCAGTATGTACCCAAGGACAGAGTTCAGAAGGATTGAGACAGAAGGAAGACGGGAAACAGGAAGTACGATCAGTGAGCTTCATATTACGGAAATTGCAGTGAAAGATATGAAACCAAATGTGTATGAATTATTAGCTGTAGAGCTGTTGAACTTGTCTGTTGTAAGCATTTATCCAGTCCGCAATAAAAAGTTAAAAAGAAAAAAATTAACAATATTTTATATTCCAAGTATCACTTTGAGATAGAAAAACATACATTGGAAAAGTAAACAAGCTTAAAAAGATAAGCAAACATTAAAACAGACTGTTTAGGGACTGAATCTGGTGAGAGTGAGCAACTGTTTGTAGAATTGTCATCCAAGTGTAATAAGAGGCCCTAAGCCGGGCATCTTATCTCAAAGCCAGAAATAAAGGACATCTTGCTACTTGCCAGTATCTTAAAGATTCCTCTTTTCAAACTGTATCATTGAAAAGGCAAAGAAGTTACTGGGAGCCAATATATTATGCCAAAAGAACCAACCATCTGTCTACTAAAGTATCAGAGGGAAAAATATTCTTTTATATCAAATAGAGGTTTTTACTATTTCTCATTACTTTGGAGTTTATAAATGCATAGTAATTTTCAAAAGTTGAAATACAATGGCCGTTTCTGATCTACTTAGGATTCCTTTTTTTTTTTTCATGGCTAAAGAAATGGGGGGTATAATTTTAATTGTCACATCATAGTAGATGAGATTTTTGGTGGCAGGCCTCCCAAATCCTGAAAATAAATTTGAGTTATGACTGCCATTGCCATCTTTTTACTGTTGTAGAGAAGTAATAAATTTGATAATCCCAAAACCTAATTGGTATGAATCCCATTATGTAATTTGTTCTAGAAAGCTGATGGGTGAAATATTGTCTTCTTCAAAGCGCTCTTGACTTAGCTCGCCCCTCTCTTTTCCTTTTTCTAGGACATCGCAAGAAGTAAATTGTCAATCTGTAGGAAAAGCGAAATAGTAGATGAATAATTCAACTCAGTTTCAGTAAAAATGCATTGTTATTATTGAAAATTCAATGCTTGATAACTATTTTAAAATGAACCCTCTTCTGGTCTCTTGAAGACAAGTGGCCACCAGAGAGAATCGAAATGAATTTCAAATGAAGCACTTTTGTAATCCCAACTCAAATATCCCCTATCCTCTCCTGTATGCATGAGTTTCACTCTGCTCCAGGAACGCAGCGCAGATCACAGAAAGGCAAAATGTATACTGTGCTCCGCGCGGGTCTGTGAGCAGTGGGACTTTGGTGGGGTTCACTGCTACACCCCGCATGCTGAGAACAGGCTGTATCCAGTTTCTCCCGTTCCTGCTGCTGCTGCCTTCCCATGCCCCATTTTCGTCTTGTATGTTCATTGCATGTTTCTAAAGTATTATTGCCAACAGCAGCAAAGTAAATGTTTTAGTAAATATGACAAGTGGAGATACCCAAATTGAAACACACGTTATGCTGGAGTCTGCTAAAATCATTGTCCTCTAATAACAGTGAAACATTAAGTTCTTTGCTTGACCGCAGTGGTAAAATTACAGCATAGGCTCTCGGTCTTAGCATGTGCCTGTCAGACTGTTAATGGAATTACTCAAAGTTTAATAATTTTTCTGATTTTTGTTTGTTGTTGATTTTTTGGTTTTTTGCTTTTAAATGAGGAAAGTTTAAATACAGGAACAAAATATGGTTGTGGGTACCATCAATCAATAATGAAATCAATAGCACAGTTATATATTTTTACATCAGTACATAGTTTGTTTTTCCCTTCAAAAACTTGAGCAAGTTATTATTGAAGTCTTCTAAAGTAATATATTAATTCCACAGATGTTTTTAGGTTATGCTACCCTACCCTTAATTCTTGGTTTCATTTTTTTCTTTTTTAAGAGAGAGACTACTTATCTTTTAGGAGGTGTTTATTTCTGCTTTTTAAAAGAAGTAAGAATATGCAGATATTTTTACTTGTACTTTTTTCCAGAAAAGGACGCTAACTATAATTATAGTCTACCTTTATTATATGGCATTATACAAGATTCCTCAAATGGCTTTTAAAAGGAAAGTGGTTATCTGTATATAACTTTTGTGCTTTTATCTCTGCTTTAGGTCTTGTGATAATGGTCATTGTATCTTGAACGGAACACACGGTACCTCCTCAGAGATGAAGAAATCCACCATCCCTGAATTAGGCATATATTTAAAGAGTATGTATGAAATAAGTTGTTAATGCTTGCTGAATCTTAATGGTCAGACTTTAAAGGCAAAAGACCATCTCTTTGTTGTGCTGAAAATACATTAAGGTTTTGTGTTACCCTCTAGGAGGTGTTTGTGATTCAGCCTCTGATCCAGTGCCTTTGCCACCTGCCAGGCCTGCAACTCGGGACAATCCAAAGCATGGTTCTTCATTCAACAGGACGCCCTCTGATTATGACCTTCTCACCCCTTCACTAGGTTAAAATCTGTTTAAAACTTGAAACAAATCCACCTTAGCTCTCCATTAAGAACTGAATTGTCCAGACTCTGAGCAGTGCTAACTCACTGGGTGGAGAGCTCACCAGAGAGTAAACTGAGTTCTTCACATGATGACGGCTTTGAGGTTGATATGATCGTTAATGTTCGCATTTCGATGATTAAAACGATGGTGTAAGTAGTTGGACTTCAGCCAGAGTTGTACGTAGCTGTCACCTCACATAGTCTATAAAAACACACGTGATCGCTGTTTATTCCCTACGGTACTGGTAGTCTAGCGGTTTTCAAGTAGTGATGTTTACCTGAGATTATCTTTAAGTATAATTTTTAATAAATTTGAACTTACTTATATCTCAGTTCAAAAACTACCCACCCAGTTCCATGTATGATAACTAAACTTGGAAAATTGCAATGATTGTAACACACTAGTAATCTCTGTCTTATTCTAATCTTTTTAGCTACAATACATTGAAAGCATCTCATTTTTTTTTTATTTCAAATTATAATATAAAGAAATAGACTAAAAAAAAGAGAAAGAAATACACTAATGTGTGTGTGCGTGTGTATGCACATGAAGGCACATGCAGATGTGTACATATGTTGTTGGCTGATGCCCAATGTCAGTTTCAAATATCTGGAATCCTGTGTAGAAGACGTCTGACCTTTTTTTAGAAGAAAACAATTGGTTAGAAACATATTTCAGAACAATTCATAGTAATAATTCACAATCATGATGTTCGATGGAAACCTCTCTGAAAATCTGTCTAAATTGGTTATTACATCACCAGAAACATGGACTGAACCTTTCTGTTTCCCAGTATTGTTGGCTTGTATTTGAGTTAACACCATTTGCTCCAGTTCTCTAAGTCATAATTATTTAAAACTGCTTTTATTTACATCAGCTCCATTGAGCTTGTTAACACTTCTTTCACACTGCATGCTGGTTCTTGGCCTGTTATTCCAATCATCGTGATCTAGATCAGCACTGATCCATAAAATTTATACTGATGCTCTGAAAAACCAACTCATTGTCATCGTGACCCTATAGACTAGCGGTGCTCCACCAGTGGGTCATGACCCCTTTGAGGGTCGAACGACCCTTTCACAGGGGTCACCCAATTCATAACAGTAGCAAAATTACAGTGATGAAGTAGCAATGAAAATAATTTTATGGTTGGGGGGTCAGCACAACATGAGGCACTGTATGAGAGGGTCGCGGCATGAGGAAAGTTGAGAACCACTGCTCCAGACCAAGATAGAATGGCCCCTGTGGGTTCCTGACACAGTAAATCTTTATGGGAGTAAAAGCCTCATCTTTCTCCCTTGGGGTGACTGATGGTTTGAACTGATGACCTTACAGTTAACAACCCAACCCATAACCTACTTTGCCACCAGGGCTTCTATGATGATGTGAAGCATAGGTTCCCAAACGTATTTGGCTTACACCCTCACCCCTCTTTCTCAGGGTGGGGGAAAAACACCATTCATCCTTCTGGCAATTAAAAACTTACGTCGTGGCCCATAAACGGGGACAACGTGTAGGTGTCTGTTTTGCAGCCTCCTAGAATTTTCTGCTCCTGATCAACAGCTCACTGAATGTTGCTTTCTAATTCTCTTCTCCCTCATCTAATGTCTGTATCTTCCTCATGGGATGTACACTTTGGAACCCCACTTATATAGCAACTTGTCTTAGCCTCTCTTCTGAAATAAAACTTCCTGCTTGGCTCAGGGCATTGTGATTTGGATCTTTATATCTCCTCTCTGTGTTAGGGTGCTTGGCATTTAGGGGCTGAAGAAAGATTTGGATGAGTATAATTAATATAGCCAATAGAGGAAGATTAGAATTGATAGCAAAGCTCTGTCTCCTGTATCTTCAAATATTTTAAATTATGTAAATAATTATTTTCCAACTAGAAAATATTTTTCCCAAGGAATCTTGATGAATGGTAAGACTCCTTTTCTTTAAACTAATCCTATGTAATTAAGCCACTAAACTTAATTACAGGATATTATTTTTACTATTGGGATATGCAGATGTTTCTTTAAAAGTTTTGCTTCACGTATATTTTCTGCAGCTTGCAAAAAACGCACTGCCATTTTTTTAAAAGATTGATAATGATATTAATCTAAGGAAAACTATGAGCATAAGAATAAGAAGTGGTAGAGGGAAAAATAAATATACATAGAGCATAATGTAAAATTCTGTGCTTACTAAATCCTAGAAATATACAAATGTAACAATTAGCATTTGGAACTGCAAAATTGTTCTATATTTAATATTTCCTTTTAAGAAATATCAGAGACAAAATTAATATTCCAGAGATAAAGTAATATATGTAGCTTCTATATCATTTGATTGTAGATTGAAAGTAGGGAGGTTTAATTTAAAGTCCAGTAGAATTAACATTAAACTAATCTGGACTAGTGTGGGACATCAAACTATCTATGTAAAGTATGACTTGTAATTCGAGCTCTGAACTCTGTTATACTTAGGCTGTTGTTCTGATGGTGTGGCCGATACGGCGTTTTAGATGCAACTTCTATTGTCTTAATATCATAAAGGTCATAAATGAACCGTAAATTATTTCATAACCTGCTCAGCTGCTTTTCAGTAATCCTACAAAAGAAAAAGTCTGTATGTGTGTGTCCAGACACTCACAAAATAGTGAAATCCCATCGTGAAAGCAGCACATTGCTGTATACAGTTCTTTTGAAGCTGCAAGAGAACGGCAGCCATTACTCTCGTTGACAGCGTGCATTTTGGTGAATGAAGCTCTGCTTTGATATTGATGTTGGACATTGACATTTCTTTAAATGCAGGTGAAGATGCTTTTGATGCCATCCCTCCGTCTCTCCCACCTCCCCCGCCGCCTGCAAGGCACAGTCTCTTTGAACAGTCAAAGCCTTCTGGCTCCAGTAGCCGACCCTCCTCAGGACAAGACCTTTTCCTCCTCCCTGCAGGTAGGTGAGGAAAGCCCACCCAAATGTTTCCCTTAAAGAAGAAAGCGAAAACAAACACCTCTAATCTCTTATTTTCAAGTAAACACTATGCAGAAAAATACCTAGGTGGGGATCAGAGCCATGGAGTGTGTCCAGTGGTTGATTGGTATGATGCTTAAAAAGACTAAGAGCAATTAGAACCATAGATTAAAAAGGGGCCTATGAAGATTACTCAAGCCAACTGCACTCCCATGTTATAAAAGACATTCATATATATGTGTGTGTGTGTGTATACATTCATATATGTCTTCTTCCATAAAGATTTACAGCTTCAAAGCCCTCTGGAATATTTCTATTTAGAATTGCCTTGGCCACAATGAGTTTGGTGTTTTGGATTTAATCTGTCCTGTTAGTAATAATCTGATCTGTCCTCAGATCAGATATATATATATATAAAAACATTCTTGAGAACCAAAAGAGCCAAATATTTGAGCAAATAGCGAGAGCAGCAAACTTGGACTCCTCATTTTTTGGTTTTAATGTCTATGTTTACCTGTTAGGTATCTAAAATTTGACTGTCTCTTAAGATCCTATTTTTTTTTCAAAAGCTAAGATTTTAATAAATTATGTTGACAGAATACACATGAAAACAAGCTTTTCAGCCATAACTAGATTTTACTGGTTTTTCTATTTTTATTTGTAATGTTTAATAGATCCACTCACAAATACTGTTCTTCAAGGAACAATCGATGCAGACTTATAAAAACAAAAGAATAAGTTACTAGTTAGAGGAAATGCCGTAGGGACCACGTCTGACCTCCTCTAGCTACACAAGGAAGAAGGAGCATCCAATTCCATAATCTGCCCGAAGGTGAATCCCCTGGGGCAGAGGTCAGGCATCCCTCGGTTCTCCATCCTTCTGTACCCTATTCTGACAATAACCATATTTACACAACTTTCAGTTACTCTGCTGGGTTTAATAATCTGTTGGTGTGGCCATATAGAATGCACAAACAATACTCATGATTATGGAGTCTGTTCAGGCAATTAGTAGATTATAAATCAGTAGCGAAAAATTTAAAGATACAGTCATTGTATCTGTAGCACGCAGGCCTCTTTGCAGACATGCCAGCAACCATGAGTCTCACTGCTTCTTGCCCATACTATCTATTGGGTTCTACTCCACTTGGGTAAGTGTTAGGAAGCTCCATTCGTGCTGGTAGATTTCCCAAAGGGCAGCCCATTC